AGGGGAGGGGAGGGGAGGGGAGGGCGACACTCACTGTGGCTGGTAGAGGGCCAGAGTCAAGGGGAAGGGATGCCCAGCACCAAACAGAGAGGAACAAGGACTTCACGTGACTTGGCTAAAGTGCTTCTTCAGATGCAGCCCAGAACGGCGTTATGCCTTCTAGCATAATGTTCATGTTCATGTTCAGCTAGTGGTCCTAAGTCCTACTCAGATGTCGTGTTTCCAAGCCGAGGGGCTAATTACAATTATTTCCTTGTGGTTTTACAATCTATGTCAGCCTCGTCCCCCTTGAAGATAAGGGAGAGGCAATACCGAAAATAAAATCAGTCCAAGAGAAAGAGTGACTAACCCTGGCGCTTCTCTAAAAACCATTGTCACAACCACGTGTGCTGGGCTGTGGGGCTCGTTTATTAATGAAATGTGTACGCAGCCTCAATGTGGTTGCATTCAAGGCCATTTACACGTACGGTATCTATAATAAAATTCAACAATAACATCAGTACAAAGTGCAGGAATGCAAGAAATAAATGCAAACTGCAATGATAACAGTAATCATGATTATGGCCATCAAGTGGGCTACTCTGCCTGGTTCCTTTACTGCAGAAGTTCTCCACCCCTTCTTGATGGAGCTGTTATTATGAGTTTGGTCCTCTTTGTATTTAATCTGAGTCCCATTTCTTCCCTGTGCCCCCTTTCACGACTAGGGCTCGCAGCTCCTTTGCATTTTCATCTGCCAGAGCAGCGTCATCAGCTCAGCGCAGGCTGTTGAGGTTCCTTCCTCCAGTTTTAAAACCAGGCTGGTCTTCCGCCAGTCCAGCTCCCCTTAATACAAATTCCGCATAGAGGTGGAATAAACGGAGGACCACAGCGCCTCTCGCTCCTTCGCCACCCCGCAGCCAGCCTGTCTCGCCACGGTCGGTCCCTGCTGAGGCGCCCTCACCTGTATCTCGCCTTCGCGTCGGGCAGCGAGATGGTCCGGCGTGCCCGTTTGTGCGCGAGCCTCTGAGAAATAACTCATTTCACAGAGGTGCGTCGTGGTGGAATGACCGTAGGATAGGCGCAGCCAGAACCCCAGATCGTGCCAAGGGAAATGCCCAGGCGCTGCCCCCTG